GCCCAAATAACATTTCACAACTTTCTTTGCAGAACGTGGCATGAAATAAACATATTCTATCTGATTTGCACCAACCAACACTGGTGAACTTCAGTGGAAACAGAAGCAGAAGCAATATTAAAAGTAGAGCAACCTAAAAATTCAATTGCTTGAATTACAAAGAAAAGTTGAAAAAGAAAAACTCAAAAGATTTAACATCGACATTTGAGCTGTTTTTTACTATTATGTTTAAGTTCTATATCCTAATACAGATTTTATGGGCATATAGCATTTACATTGTTCTTATTAATAAATAATCACATATATGTTGAATGGTGGGTTTATGCAATCATTATCATTAGTTCACTATGAAAAATCATTAAGAAATAACCAATAGAAACAAAGCTTTATTGCACGTTACTAACCAACGAAATCACCCTGACCCTAGTAAACTAATGATAATGATTGTATAAACCCACCAATAATGTAGAAAAACAGTCGCGTACTATTGAGGTGTCTATATCCCTTTAAATACCCTGTATATTTCAACGTCGGATGCAACCGGTCATGTAGGTGGAGATTCTGAGGACATGAGCCACCGTCATTACCACCTGTTGATATTTTTTTTGGGAGTTTCCGGGGGATGTTGGGCTTGGCGTCACTTGTTGGTTGTTAAAGCTTGTTGGTGGCGGAAGTATTGCATTCTGAGTTGTATTAATTGAGTTTTGCTTTGTATCTTGTGTTTGTGTTTAAGTTATATTAAGCCACTTTGGTGTCGGGTAAAGTATTGTATGTAGTTCAATCTGTTTACTCTTTATGTACCTATATGAATTGTGCGATTTGTTATATCAGATATTTTCCATTTATCATTGTGCTAATAGATGTTGGTACCGTGACCAGGATATTGTGACTCGGCTGCTATGTGGCAGGAACTTCATTTTTCGTTTTAGTTTTTCATTTGTGCACCTTGTGAATTCTTTTACTAATTGTGTTTTGTTTCCTACAGACATACTACTTTGTGTGTGTGCTTCCAGAAGGAATTATAGTGTTTATATGGCAACGCTGCAACTGACGTCAAAACTGACATTAGCAACCTTGACATCAGCTGTTCTAAATGTCATCTAGCAATGACATTCCCCCGCAAAATATCGTACCATTCGGTATCAGTCACGTGGACACACCCCACGGTCCTTAGTATACGGACCGTGGACACACCCCACCTTGAAATCAGGGTATAAAAAGGTGTGCATCCACGTGAAAACTTCAGTATGTTTCAGTCGTTATTGGTGAAGGAACTCGCCTACCTTTACACGACATACACACTCTCATACCTTCTGCTGTTATTAGCGAAGGAAGGATCTACACATACATACATCTACAACTAGTAGTCATGAAAGACCAATTCATCGTTGCCATAAAGTACAGTGTCAGTCAAGTATAATGCAATCTACCTCAATAACTCTTTAAGAAAGAAAAGAAGCATCTTCGACGAACCATAAACCAAACGTCCAGCCTTACCAGTTCCTGTATCACCTTTGCCGGATTCTCCAAAGAGATCACAGCAAGATAGTGCAGGATGGTAGTTGATTACAGTGTCAAATATTTCCAATCCTTATACATCAGTGTGTAATTATGAAATTGACTTAAAGGATCCACGACGTTTTATAGTTAGGTCGTTAATTAGACAATCAATAGGTTATAAATGTTCTAAATGTATTTCTTGTTAATTATTTAATTTTTAGTGTTCTACGTGTTGTTAGAAAAATTGTTTCACAAGTGTAAATACAAACTTATCACAAAAGACACTAAAGAATCAACAATAGGGCGTGACGATTATGCGGGCTCAGAGGGTGACCAGGTGTACGAAATGGCTTCCGTGGAGCTTGAAATGATCCAGCTCAGGGAGACCGTTCAACAACAGGCTGTCAAGGTTGAGGCATTCATGAAGTCCCAGCAGGAACTGAACCAACAGTTGTTGGAAACGAATCGGAGGTTGTTGGATGCCCTTGAAAGGAATCCTCCGAGAGGGACAACTCCGTTAGGTGTCGCGGTGTCTGATGTAGCAAGCGGTGAGTCTGTTCCAAGTCGAACTGTAGTTCCCAATCCCGGTCCTAGTTCCCTTCCTTCTATTCTCTCCAGCTCTGTTGCTACCACCAGTGGTACCAATATGGATTGGAAAGAGATCGCGACTTGGTTAGCTAGGCGTGCTTCTGTGGGTTCGGCAGTACAGAAACCTTTCTTTGCGTCTGGTAGAAACCATCCCATAGTATTCTTAGAGCGGTTTGAGATCTCTGAGTCCTAGGGTGCTGGAATGGATGTTGATCAGGGAAGGACAGTGGGAGAGCTTTGAGGATTTTCGCAAGGACTTCTTAGGGTTATATTGGTCGGGTGCGTAACAACACTCAGAACGGATGAGGCTATTGTTGAAGCGGTATCTTCCGGATAAGGGGCTTTCCATGTCGGAATATTTTATTAATCAAATCACATCGTTGCGTGCCGCGTCCCCTTTGGTCCCGGAGGTGGTTTTGGTAGAAGATGTGATCCAGCAATTTCCGCAGTGGGTGCTGTCGTTGTGGACCATGTCGCCAGATAAAGATTTGAAGGGGACTTTGGAATTCTTGGCGAGCCAGGAGGCCAACTATAGCAAGAGATAACGTCCCTTTTCAGAACCGACGTCTGCACCTGTGACCCAGAGGCAACGGTTGGAATGTCCGGATGACCAGCAAGCTGAGCCGGGGAGCAGTGGTCGCCAATCGGGAAACTTCCAAGAGGGCCGATAAGAAACTCCTATTATGACTGGTCATCCAACTTTGATTGATTTGAACATATTACAGATTAATAATTTATCTAGGGAGAAGGAAATTTTGAGTGAAAGATTTAGTAAGGTGTTTATAGTACAAAATTAACCAGTATTAAATGCATGACATACAATTAAGGTTGATTATGTTGGTAAAATGGTACCATGTAGAAAAATTCCATTTGCATTAACAGAATCATTAAAAACTGAACTTGATGTGCTCGTCAAGAATGGTGTAATATCAAAAATGCATGAACCTATAGTATTTGTTAGTGAGGGAAGGATGAAAAAGAAAATGTGAATCGTTTATCAAGAGTTTTACAGAGAGCTCAAACTATACTTACTAGCTCTATACGCAATCACTTTGTCCATCAAAATTCACCAGAACCGGATCACACACATCTACATCGATTTGGCCAAAGACATGTCGAATTTGAGGCTAGAATTCGTCAAATTTCTGGGGTTGTTCCCTACAAAAAAGTCACCTGATCGAGGCTTGGTCTCTTCGAAACGAGATGAGTCGATCCTGAAACCTGCAGTGCATGTTTCCCTTGCAGTTAAAACCAAAGGTTCTTGATATTCATTTGATTCAATTGAGGTCATAGGGAGTCAGTGAGCATTGCTCGGCACCTAACTCGATTAACTGCATTTCCTTCTTTCTCTTCAAAAAAAGAAAAGGGTCGATCAAACCTCTACTGGAAATTCCACACCAAACCGTAGTGCTGTTGCTGGATATACTTCTGTACAAAGTTGCATGTACGGAGAATCACTTGCATCTGTCTGCTTCCTTATGAGTCAAGAGTTCATGAAAAACTCGGGTGACAACCTACTAGTACCAGCACTAGGTGTATGATGACGTCATTCTATGCATAGTTACACAAAACCAACTTTATTGCGGTAATGATTGATCCTAGCGTGTTTTCACGTATTACTAAAAATATTTATCAGTAAAAAATGAATTATTTGGTCACCAGTAAAAATCTCGTACCCTTAGCGGTTACGAAGATATAACGAAAAATAGGTGGTTCACTACAGCAAAATTTCTAGCGCGTTCTCGCGGCATGCAGATTACTAAATTTCAACAGCTTTTCAACCTACCGTTAAATTCGCAATATAAGTGCCTCAATTCCATTGCCAGTTCAAATTGATAGCTTCTGTCCATCTCCGGGTAACAAAATGGAGCTGCAGAACATAATCAGAAAGCGACTTTTGAAACTATCCGATAAGGAGAACGAACTCTATCTAAGCGCTACTACAGTTGCCTTGCCGTTTATGAATGTATAAAAAAATACGAAGTGAAGTCACTCAAATAATCGAACTTAAATACAATCAACTGGAGGAGGCAAATTTACGATTGATGGTTCATCTTCTTGATGCTGCGCAGAAAGGGACACAGACATTCTAGTGCTATGTGCATATCACTGGAAAACTTATAGCTTCCATGGCATGAAGGAAAGTCCTGGTCATTTTATTATTTTATATTAATTTTTATAGGAACTGTGGATGAGAATGAGTGTAGGTGACACTACTCCGTATGTACCGGTGCACACGCTGGCTGAAAATTGTGCCCCAAGTCTCTGTAACGCTCTTCCTGCTTTCCATGCAGTTACGCGAGATGCAATTTTACAAGCAAAGTTGGACCAAAAGCCGCGGCCCTTAAAAATAACCCACTGCCTTACCTAGTTTGGAAAGAGTACTGAGGAGGGTGCAATAAGCTTAAGCCTGCAAGAAGCGGAAATTTTTTTAGTACGAGTGTTGCTAAAGGTACTACTGGTACGTTTTGCAATACCATGGCTGAACTGCGACGATATCAATATCACCAAGGTACAAGGGCCATTGAAAATCTAGCATCCCCTAGCGGAATGATAAAAGGGCATTTGTTGCGTGCCTTATACTACACTGTAATACAGGTAATATCAACCTGTTTTCGCCTTATCTTTTAGTAGGGGAGCTAGCTCGAAATCCACTGAACGAGAATGATCAAAATTTTAACAGATGGAGTTCCATTTTGCCCTATCCGAGTATGCTAAAATCGACCGTCTACCGCCTCAGGTCATATTACTTAAGGCGCTGCGGGTACTTCTTGCGTAAAGTCCCTAGATTAGTAGAGTACCGCAATTGATTTGTTCACTCCTTTGGAGTCAAAATGGCCGATAACATCTGACGGCATCGTGTTGATATCACTGTTGATATTCGTCAATTTGTCATCGTGTTTTCGTGTTTGCCAGAGAGAACGTGTTTCGTCGTGTTATTTGGTTTAAAAAACTGAAACAATGCCGGGTTGTTGTGTTCCTGGGTGTAACAATCGAAGCGAACGTGGTTACAGGTTATTTAGGTTACCTTGTGATAAGAATAATGTAGAGAGAACTAAACTGTGGATGGAGTTTATTAACAAAGATGCGTTAGCTCCAAGAGCATCTGTTTGTGAAGTAAGTACATATATATGTTGATGGAAATTTTCAGCGTTCATGATAATAATTTTTAACAAAGTGACTTTTTATACGTCTGGTGTATATGAAAGTCGGTAAACGGTCGATGATTTGGCCTACAGCTCCAGCTAGCTAGGGCCTAAGTGTCGGCCCGCCGAGGACTAACCCATATCGAACTAAGTGGACTCACTTTACTGTGATTCTTTGAAATAATGTTTTTCACGTCGGACTTATACCGAATTGCATATCCTTCTGACGTATAAACAGCCACTTCCTCTTTTTAAATCACTAAAAAGTACAAATATTTAAGTAGTATTATTTGCAGGCGCATTTTGACGATAAACAATATGAGTTGAACCGAATTGACAGAAAAAAGCTGTTGAAGAGAACTGCTGTTCCCACAATTACTGTAGAAGATCTTAAAAAGAAAAGGTCGAATGGTTTGTTTTTAGTTTAAAATTATCATGAAACACTTTTCTTATCATATGAAAAATTTTCAGATCACACAATGTTCACTCAAGAACTTCAGAAAGGCACACCATCCACTTCTAATATTCAAAATGAATCATCAGGTAACTGTTACATATATAATAAACGAATCTCCGAAACTTATTAAACTTTTGACGGTGTTACGCTCTACAACAAATATTTTTTACGTGCCAAAGAGTTCAGTGCAATTTGGTAGTATATGAGTTTAGTTTGTTCATTGTTTTAATTCTGTTTGTTTTTGATAGTATATGTATTATGCAACAACCATAAAGTGAGGCTCATTTTACACGAGTATGAAAAGTTGCAGCGACCGAAGGCGAGTGCTGCATTTCATATTGGTGCAAAATTGCCAGTTTGTGCGAGTTACAAACTATACTTTTTGTAAGGCAAACATTTTTAATATCAATGCAAAGAGGCACAGTGCACCCGTAAATTATTGCACAAATTCATTATTTAATAAACGAAAAATAAAGAATTTGTGCAATTGAATGAGAATTATTTTATTAGAAATTGCAAAAATTTTATTTTTCTTTTGCAGAAGAGCCGCAAGCAAGTAATAATGAAGATGAAGAGTTGTATGTCACCAATTTACAATTCCAAAGACTGCAACAAAAATTACAAGCTTCCCAAGCAAAGGTTCATACTTTAGAAAGCCAAGTAAAACAATTTGAAGAACAGTTGAAAGTGATTTTTAACGCGGATCAAATACATATGTTAAAATACAAGAACCATCGAGGCTATCAGTGGTCTGATGAAACTGTTCAGAGAGCTCTTAAACTGTACATGGCTTGTGGAGCAAAAGGCTATCAAGAACTTTGCAAGCAACAATATCCCCTTCCCAGTATTCGTACATTGCAACATAGAATCCAGAACTTTAAAGTTCAAGCAGGTGTGTTAGAAGATATATTCGTGCTTCTTAAACTAAAAGTAAAAACAATAATAATTGTGTTATGTTATAAACCTTTCTAATTTATATTTAGGTCAATGCGTTTGAAAATCAAGAAAAGTATGCTTCCCTCTTATTAGATGAAATAGCAATAAAACCGGGTTTACAATATGATAATTCTACAAAGGAAGTTGTGGGAAGACCAACAATGATGCTTTCTGGGAATAAGGATAGTTCAAACAAACTGGCTACTCATGCCTAAGTGTGGTGTCACACTATGCGTTTTTACCGCTCCCGCTAAAACGGATGCGGTTTGACAGGATGAGATCTACTTGTCACACTATTCAGGTTTAACGGGATGCGTTTTTGCTATATTTTGGCAGTCTAAGTAGTGTCATGTCTCAATTATTGTTAAAGATGGTTTGTGCGCTTGAGGCGGAGGGGCTATTGCGAAAGCAGATATATCGTCAATATTAGATTGATCCTTTTAATTCAGGACGAGAATCTAATAATAGGTTCGCGAAGTTTTATGAAAAAATTCGAATGAACAAGAAAAATTTTTTTGTATATTACCGAATGTCCAAAAATTCAATTTCTACCCATGATTTCTCCCTACAGCTTTTATCTACATACTCTTTAGATTGTTTTTCCCACAGTGCAGTTTTTGCATGCACGCACTCGATGAATAAACCGACATCAAACATTGTAAACCTAACAAGACACCCGGTTGCAACGCTCAGTGTGACAACTGATGACAACCAACGTGCAACAACACGTGGTTTCATGTCATTGGGGTTGTCATGTCATCCTGCGCAGCGGCAGCAGGATGCGGTTGCATCCGGTTGGTGCGGCGAAAACGCATATATGTGACTAGTACCATTTAATAACGTGTGATATTATCATCCCGTCAAACAGGAGCGTTTTAGCGGGAGCGGTAAAAACGCATAGTGTGACACCACACTTAGTTTTTATGCTAGCAGGAATGACTATGCGGTGGAAACAGACGGTTGCTTACGAACTTACTGCAGCTTCATACAGTGCTGACGAGGTTCTACAGAAATTATATTACATAGTTAGGAAGTCACACGATATAGGATTAACTATAACAACTATTATATCCGACATTGGACCTGCAAACCGCAGTTTCTGGCGGTTGCTTCATATTACTGCTGGTCGTCATGAAAAGGTGAAGAATTACTGCGCACACCCGTGTGACAAAAATGAAAGGTTGTATGTAATGCCAGATCCAGTCCATGCATTCAAAAACGTTGCTACAAGTTTAGTGCGTCACAAAATATTCAAAATTTCTGATGCAATTAAAAATAAATACAAACTGCCTTCAGAATATATAAAGATTTCTGCTATAAAGAAAGTTTTTGATCTTGATTCTCAAGATGAGATAAAAATGGCATACCGTCTTAAGGATTACATGTTCCAACCTGGACATTTTGAAAAAATGGATATCAACACAGCATACGCCCTCTTTCACAATGACACAGCTGCTGCCATTACTTATTACATTGCAATTGGAGCTCTTCACAACAATTGTGCAACAACAGCGTGGTTTTGTAAACAAATATATAGGTGGTTCAGCATTATAACTTCGAGATCCAGCAAGCTTGGATTGTCTGAAAATAATCCTGAGGTGTATGAAGAAGCCCTCACTTTTCTGAAACAATTTATGGACATCATTTATAACATTACTATTGATAAAGGAGAATGGAAACCATTTCAGAGTGGAATTGTTTTGGCAACCCAAACTTCCTTGGACTTACAGGACCATTATTTAAGGGTCCATGGCTTCCGTTTTGTATTGTTAGGACGACTGACTCAAGATGCCCTTGAGAACTTATTTTCTGTGATTCGCAGTCGAACACCAGTCCCAGGACCACATGAATTTAAAGTTGCATTGAGGTTAATAACTTTATCACAGTATGAGTGCCAAATTGTTCGAGGTAATTATTTTACTGACAATAGAAGTCACTTAATAAATTATTGTAAAGAAAAACCAAATCATTCAGAAGATCAGGATCAAGTGGAGATTTTTTCGTGTTCGGAAATCAAACTAGATGAAGATGAGCTCGTTCTCAATGAAGCTGTTAAACAGTCATTATATTATTTATTAGGGAGTGTAATATTTTCATTAAAAAAAAAGAAAAAGTGCTCCAAATGCATTGAACCTATCACAGTGATGTCAAGCAATCTAAATGATCACATTATTAAACTGACCCAATTAAAAGAATACAAAGAAAATGTATTATTATTCCCAAAGGTTCAACTTTTTGATTATATTCTTATTGCAGAAACTTTCTTTAGGAAACATAGGCTAGAATTATTAGAAAACCAAGTAAATTTAGAAGTACTTACAAAAACATTTTTATTTAATTTTAAATTTAATGCAGAAACTTGTCATAGTAACATAATAGATGATATTGTTTCGTTGTATTTCAGAACTAGATTTTTCTTAGCATTAAAAAATCACAATGATGTTGAAATGAAAAAAATTAATGTAACTGAAAATACTCGTAGCAGTAGGAGTGTTGCGATGCGAGCTCTAGTTAAAAATGTAAAATAATAAATATGTTCATATTATGCATAAAATATATCAAAACATTTTGTTTATTGTGTTGCGTTTTATTGATTGTGTTTATGTGACGTCTTTTCAAATTTCCCACCAAAGTGTTGGAGTCAAAATGGCGTCAATTGCGGTACTCTACTAATCTAGGGACTTTATTCTTGCGGTACCAATTCTAAAAGATTGTTTTTCGAAAAAATAAGTTATACACCAAATGAAAACGTTGATAATAGCTCTTAAAAAATTTACATTTGGCAAGTTTACTGGCGGAAAGTACTTTCTGCCAGTAAACTTGCTACTCTATTTCTATTTAACTGGCACTTTCCGCGCATTTACATGTGGCAAGTTTACTAGCCGACAGTACTTTCCGCCAGTAAACTTGCCAAATGTAAATTAGGCTTTAGTCGGTTTTTCACGAATTTTCTACGGATACTAGGTTACGGTTGGATGAATGAAGCTGATTTTTTTACAGACTGATGATAGGTACTACCAATGACTTAGCAGTGTTTCTTTTTTTCTCTAACTATATAAGATTATCTTATTATCTTATCATTATAAGATATCTTATAATTAGAGAAAAAATTTAAAAAAGAAACACTGTCATAGTCGTTGGCTGTACCTATCATTAGTCTGCAAAAAATCAGTTTTTGGTTTTGTAAATGTAGAAGTAAAAAAACTATGGACTGCAAAAATCCTTTCAAAAGCAGAACGTAGAAGAGGAAAACAATTTTTATCAACTATACTTTGTTTATTGCAGTAATAAAAGAGAAAACTGAATTTTTTTGTAACACCGTCTAATGTCCGATCACATATCTCCGAAATCCTGCGTGATATCAAATTTTGAGTAATAAACAAATTTATTCATTTTTTTATGGTCAACATTTTTGATAATAAGATAAAACATGCTAGGACCACACCTTGCCGAAATAAAGTGGATTTACGTAAACATTTATAATTTTTGTGTATGACGTCATTGTGCCGCTGAGTGCAGGTCATGATAGACTGTCACCCAAGTTTTTTGTAAAGCTTGACCCATATGGATGTGGATGGAGAGAGGTGATTTTCCGTACGTGTAACTTTGTGTAGAAGTACCCAGCAACTCGATTACCGGGACTCCCTATGCATTCCTTGATGTATGTAAATTCTCAGGTCCCCATATTAATAATAATAATACTTTTATTTCCATAGGACACATAGATAGATTACACAACTTCCACCAGATCCAATATCGATGGCTGTTATTAAATATTTAGTAAAAATTACCTGTTATCTAGTAATTACTGTAAGGAAAACAAAATGAAAGAGAGCAATTCGTGACAAATGTGATTGATATTGGTGTGTTTATTGACTTAAGCGAAGCATGAGGTCCCACAAGCCAGCAGAGCCATTTTAGAAAAATGAAGGACGAAATGCATCAGAATTATAGGCTGATTATAGGCCCGTTTTAGACACTTGAACAAATTTTCAGGCGGCATTCTTTAAAGAAAGAAACTATGGCTCTGCTGGCTAAAGTGGAAGCTAACTGACCACTTGTGAGATTTGCTTCGAAGACGAAAAATTCAGATCAGAAAAGACATGTTTTTAAAATGACATATTCCTCGAGCTTCTTCTTATATGGCATCTTCGAGTCCTTTCTGAAATAGTACCTTGCTCTAGTTCTGAAATCTTATTCAGTAATATTACTCTTCCATTGAGTTGTCATTCCTACTTTCCTAGATTTAATGAACAATATCTATATAATTAACATTTTCAGGAAAAGTAATCTACATCGAAAGTGCACAACCTCGAATTTGAAAATCTCGATGCGATCATTTGCGAAGCTAGGAACCGCGAGGCGTCGAATTCAGAAGATCCATCTATTGCTCTGAAAGATTTCCGGACGAACATCAACTTTCGTGGTCGACAGTACATTCTAAGTGGAATCGTTAAATTCTGCAGACCACTAACAACAAGAAATGATGTCTCTGGGAGATGGGAAGTGGATGGAATTCGATAACCTCAACCCGAAACCAATCCGCAGAAGTTCGGCCGTCAAGGTCACTCCAAGGCTCGTGATTTATGCTGTAGTGGAATAAAATTTATGGAACAGTTACATAAACAATAATTTAAATAATATTTGAGTTTAAAATAAATTTACTTCACAACATATTTTTACCTGTTACACGAATTTTCGGCAGTTTGCTTGAAAAAAAATTAATTAAGTGTCTGGATGTGGCAATTTTTTTTAAATAATTCAGTCATACAACCTGGGGGTATGTGTGTGTGTGTGTCTATATATATATATATATATATATATATATATATATATATTCTCTGTAAGAGTAACTTATAACACGACGTCAAATGTAAGGCTCCAATTACATTCGAGTATTGGTTGCTATTGACAGCAGACTTTACAATCTTATTACTTACATGCAGAGGAAAATAATGACATCTGTCACATTTGACATTTGCACAATTCATCTCCAGCGATTCCGTTAATCATTTGGGCGAAAAATGTAATATAATAAGCAACACGAAATGTAGTTGCTATTAACCTACTTGGAAGAATCTTAAAGAAATGAACTTCCTCGAAGCTTAATGCGCTACTTACATTCCTTGTAGCTTAAATAACTATAAATAAA